GCCGGGAAGGTGAAGTGGGGTTGGACCTTACCCATTACCCAGGCCCTTAACTCCTAAACCGGATCGCAGAAGCTATGTCGTCTCTCATGGCTTATACTGCTGGGGGCTTGCTCGGCTTACGCGACCTTTCGCGAATCTTTCGCGGATCCTTCGCGGGTCTTTTGCGGATTTTCGGGTAAGACTTCTGAGACTGATCCTGTGCCTCAGAAAGACTTGCAACCCTTTCCCCTTTGAGCATGCCTGGAAGATGCCTGCAGACTGCAAGAAGGGAAACATATATATTTGATAGTAAGTAAGCAACTATAGCTTACGATACTTCTTTCGCGAAATCCAGAGTTCCTTTCGCGCGCACCATCGCGACATTTCGCGGAAGGCCTTTTAAGCCAGGCATGGTCGTGTTACATAAGCCCTTCCTTATGGGGTTTTCGGACAATGCCCATTTAGTATTAAATAGGGTAATATAAGGTTATATAGAGTAGCTGCAGTCCAATATTTTGAATTGTTTGCACCTTTTAAGGAGATGGAAATGTAATAGCTGACCCTCAACCCTAAACCTTCTTTTGCACTAGAAGTGCGTCGAACGCATGAATCTTGAAACGGACAACTCAGGGCGCAGCCCCGACGGCCCAGATGTCAGACCCCGGGCTCACCTGTTGGGGAGGTGAATGTTTAGGGTGTAGGGTTTAGGGTTTAGGGGTGTTGTGCTCAGCTATAGCTGGAACTTCTACTTAGATTGCCGCAGACAATCCTACAATTACCTAGGCTTGTTTTGACTACTCCACCTTAAACATAGTTCAAGTACCCACAATGTTAAACTGCCTAGCCACAAAAAAGTAAATTGCCGAGATAATGGTACATGTCTGAAGTGACAGGTATGCATTGTGCTAGTCCAATACGCGATACCCACTGAAGACCTTGATGCAGATGCGCCCTGCGAGCCTCACCGCGCATGACCTCTGGAGCCATGTAGTACACTGTCCCCACCTCAGCTTCGTTGGCTTCCTTGTCCTCTCTCTTCCTAGGGTTTAGGGTTTAGGGCTCAGGGCTTGAGGTCAAAAATGCAAACCAGCCCCTACAATACTGATTGATGGCTGGTCCTCTCAAGCCTGATGATGCAGCCGTCTCTGCCTCGAATCTCAAAGGGCTCTACTTCCACGGGACCAATCATGGAATCTAGGAAGCTTCTCAGAAACGACTCGGCTAACATTCCTTGCAAGGCCTCTCTATAGGCATGTATCGGGGTAAAAAGTATAAGGCCCCCTACGAGTTATATGAGAATTTGTTGGATAAACTTGAGTTATAAGCCATACTTGTATGGAAATTTGCTTTTCGACTCCCCTATGTCTCTCTGAACCCCTACCTTACATACCCCTATATCACCGAACCCGAAGCTCTACAAACCCCGAATCCTCGAACTTCAACCAGGAAAAGTCTGTGTCCGCGCCTGGGTGGCAACTTGCTGCCTCTTTGGGCTGGGCCCGCCTGAAGCGATTGCGATCTTGAAGGCTTAGTGGGGTGATATATATATATATATGGGTGTGTATATTAGGGTTATATTGGGGTATATATTGAGGGCTTTTAAGTTTAGGGTTGAGGGCCTCGGGGTTTAGGAGTTTGGGGTTCTGGGGTATCAGCTGGTATTGAACCAAGCGCCAACGCGTTCTCCGCGCTACGGCTGCAGCGAATGGGCGGAGGCTGGGCGCTGGTGGCATGCGCGCTTCACAAGAATTGGCATGCGCATGCAGTGCCAGGATGCTTTTGTCCTGAAGCGGCCGTGCACATAGGCGGTTAAGAATGAGCCAGACACATGCCAAAAACAACGGCCCCTGCTAAGAAGCTTGTGCCCCCAACCCCACGCGATTAGAGGAGGCATCGATGGTTCCTCTCGAAGCAGAGGCCTAGAGAGAACTGGAAGGGATACAAGAGATTACCTGCTGACGTTTCGGGGCAATCTTAAGATTACTTGGCATTCTTTCCCAAAGGGCCTATGCACTTGTATAGTTTCTACATGGGCCCCGAAATAATCAAATATGGCAACATTTTTTGGGCCCTAAGTATACTACATACCTACATGGACCCTCTGGGCTTGGATTCTTGGAGAATGCCTGTATGAAAAACCCAGGCAAGCCCTCGTTTCGATGGCGGATTTCTGAAGTTGAGCCCTTTTGGGGAGTCCTTACAGCAAGAGTTATCATATATTGGGATCTATATTGGGGCCCCATTTATTTCTGGAAAGGGCCATTTCAGGTCTCAAGTTGAGGCCTCATTTTAGCCGTGGATGAGCTTAGCAGTCGTCAACTTCCCAGGGAATTGTAGAGTTGCTCCCAAAAATGTTTAGTAGCTGATTCCGCCCTACGTTTCCGGATGGTTCCTACTTGGAGGCCCACAAGACTTAGTAACTACTTTTAACTGGGCTCATAACCCTATAATTATAATTCCCCTAAACGAGCTTTTGGGGGTTACCCCAGTTATAAGTGGGGTTATAACCCCAGTTATAAGTACTTACTAAGTCCCATGGGCCTCCAAGTACACTACGTTGAACGTACTAAACCCTTACACCCGAAACCCGTGCCTCTGAACCCTTGAACGCTATAAACGCTTAACCCTCCTATCAATCCCTAACCCTAACCATCCCTAACCCCTAAACTCTAAACCATCAGGGAAGAGAACTCCCTGCTTCCAGCAATCAAACGTATGATTCAATTTCCATTGGATCCTCCCTTACAACCCAAAAGCCCAGTCCTAAAGCACCAAGAAAACGACCTATGATTCCTAAGCCCAGAACCCTAATCACCTAATCCCTACCCCTATAACTCCTAAACCCTGTAAATCCCCAAACTGCAGCCCTAAGCTCTAAACCCTAAATAGTAGTTTCCATTTTATTTTCCATTATCTCAATATAACCCCTATATAATCCCTATGGAACCCCGATTGAATGTAGTAGTTTCCATTTTCTTTTCCATTATGCCCAAAATAACCCCTATGTAACCCCTATATAATTCTTATGCAACCCCAATTATAATGTAGTAGTTTCCATTTTCTTTTCCATTATCCCAATATAGCCTCTATATAACCCCCCACCTTGCTTCAGGCTCGACTTCAGCTTGGATGGGCTCTTGTGGGTAACGGCAACATCTTTTGGCGGAGCTGCTGCCCGGTCGTCCTGGGAGATTCTTGCGGGTTTTGGGTCTTTGGGTTTAAGTTTTAGAGTTGGGGGCTTCTTGCGGGTTTAGGGTCTTTGGGTTTAGGTTTTAGGGTTTAAGGCTTCTTGCAGGTATAGGGTGTTTGCGTTTAGGTTTTAGAGTTTCGGGCTTAGGGTTTGGTGTCTTGTAGGGTTTAGGGTTCAGGGCGTAGGGTTTAGGGTCTTTGAGTTTTGGCTGGGGTTTGAGGGTCGAGGTTTGGGACGTGGGGTCTTTAGGGGTGTGGAGTATCTAGGTTTAGGGAGTTTGAAAGGAGGCTGACATAGCTGGCGACTGGAAGTGGGCGTTGAACTTTGCTGTCCTGAGCTTTGACCCTAAAGTCTAGGGTAGGTCTGGGGGCCCTGTAAGAAATAAATGTTTATGGCTTTATAAGGTTTATATAGGCAAAAGGGTAACAAAATTGAAAATTGCTGTCAAAACTACACCTGTAAAGGTCTAGGGCCTTCCTTGTGGGCCCCAAGTAAGCTCTGCTTTTCGGTTTTTGCACCCAAAGGTATTGGGATGGGTTGAAGCACATAATGGGATAGGTTGAGAGATAGCACTGGATGGACTGCTTGAGTCCCAAATTCAAATACAACTCTTGCCGCTAGCAGGGCAGATTCAGGTCATGCTTGCCAACTACGAAGCTCCACACCCGGAACCTTCCAAAACCCCAGACCATCCATCGCATACTCCCACCCCAACCCCGAAGCTTAAACCATCCTAAACCTCAAAAGCCGTGTACTCCTACCCCTCAATCCCCTAGACCCGAACACTCCGAAATGAAAACCTTGAACCTTAAAAACCTACCTAGACTTCCCAAGGGCCCAGAATGATAGCCTTCCAACTTCGAAATACTGGGCATATAGGCTATTGCGGGCATTTGGGAGGTCCACGTAAACCTTTCGAAGGATCCAAAGTCCTAGGAATCCAAGTCTATAAATGCCACCTACTTCGAGCCCTCAAGGCTACAATCCTTATAGGGACCCATTGGGGTAATATTTCCGTTATATTCAGGTTATATTGGAATAATGGAAATTAAAATGGAAACGATCATAATGGGTTGTATGATTTATACACCCTACAGCTAGGTCAGGGCTTAGGGGTCTGCCAGGAAATCCTCTGAGGCAACCCTAAACCCTAAACCCTAAATCCCCTAAACCCTAAACCCTAAACCCTAAATCCCCTAAACCCTAAACCCTAAACCCTAAACCCTAAATCCCCTAAACCCCAAACCCCCCTAGACCCTAAACCCCCTAACCCCTAACCCCCTAAACCCTGAGGCGCCGACTGTGGGCTCAGCTTTGCAAAGGCCTTCAGTGGTTTACTTGGAGGCCCGTGGGACTTCGTAATTACTTAGGTGGCCTGAAAGGGGGCTATAGGGATAGATAGGGTTCAGGGACTCAGGTTTAGGGTTCATGGGACTTAGGAACTACCTATATCTGGGATTTTCAACCTACTTATAATCGGGGTAACCCCTATAAGCCCATTTAGGGGGATAATATGTAGGGTTATAAGGCCAGGCATAAGTAGTTACTAAGTCCCATGGGCCTCCAAGTAGGGTTTAGGGTTTAGGGTATGGGTTACCTAATTGAAGGTTCATGTAAGTAAGTAGCTACTCTTGACTGGGTCCCTTTATCATGGGACTCAGAAATTGCAAGTAACTGGCCCTATATAGCCTATAACCCTTCTTATACTTCGGGTAACCTACATACGTCCAGCTGGGAGCATTACAAGTCGGGCTAGAAGCCTAGTTTCAAACAGATACTAAGAAGTCTCATGAACCTCCAAGTAACCACCCCCCTTGGAGGGAATGACTTCCCTTGGAGGGTCAGGGGGTAGACTTGCTAACTCCCCCCTTACCCCTCAAGCCGTCTACACCAACCTCCCATGGTTCCCCCTGAATTAGGCGTAGCTAGGGTGCATAACGCCTAATGAAAGGGGAGCCTTAGGGGAGAGTATAAGGGGCAGCTTTGCTTTCAGGGTTTAAGGTTTGGAGGATGGCGGCTACACATCGGTTCGGGATGTTGGGTTTTTGGTGGCTACATGCGGACCTTGAATCTCGTTTTTTTGAAGGTTCTGCTGCGCTTTTTCTAGGTTCCCCAGGAAAAGGATCCCCCTTTTCCTACAATACAAAGGGAAAAGGGGTACTACCAGCGTACCTAGTTTTTCTGGGGTCTGTACCAAGGACAGTAGGACATCCAGTGTTCCTTCAAGGGTAGATCTGAGGGTAACATAGGAATCATACAGGGAAGTGTATCAATTAAGGGTGGACACTCTTTGTAGGTCACCCAAGAGGACCCACCCTAAACCCTAAACCCTAAACCCATATTGTTCAGGACTTTTATGTTCCATCAGAAGCCTTTTGTCACATCGGAGGGCTATGGCATTCAAAAAGAGGTAAAGCGGTTTAAAGCGGCGACTCAGATCCAATGCTAAGCTGGGCTGCTGGGTTCTTCGTGGTTGAGGGTTCCGCATGTCGGGTGTTTTCTCCTTCCAAGAACTTTCACATGTCTGAAGGCTTCTCGCGTCTTTCTAGACATTCGCAACTTTGAGAAGCGTTCGTTGCTTGGGGAATCTTTCTTTTGCATGATCATCTGCCGACCTGAAGCTACAAACTCTTCAGGGCGCCTGTCTCAGGCTTTGTTTCCAGAGTTCCAAGTTTTTTGAAAGCTGGCAACAAAAAGCACAGTTGATCGCAAGCTGGGGTAAAGCAGTTTCTTCACGGCGGGCAAGTAATGGTGAAACCCTATAAGCCCTAACCTCTGAACTGTCTAGCTGTCTAGCTGCAACCCTATGCACAATCTTTGCCCGCAGCTTTGCATCCCAAACCCCAAACCCCAAACCCTAAATCCTTTCACCCTGCGTGAAATACTTCAAATCTAGAGCCTGGACCATGAAACCATGAAGAATGCATGCCTTAGCAAGCAAGAAGAGTAATAGGGGATTTAAAAAAAAAGGGATTCTGAGGGATCTCTGGGATACGTAGGGATCATAGGCAGACTTGGGGAAGCTACTTGGGATTCTGTGGGGGCCACTTCAAGAAACTCACATGTGCACCAACACCAAAAACCTCATTCAGCAGCACTAAATCCTGAACCCTTAACCCTAATCCCCCTAAACCCTAATCCCCCTAAACCCTAGATCTTGAACCCTAAACCCTAAA